ATGCCTGTAGATGTAACTTCTTAGACAGAAACAGATAGCATGACCGAAAGTCCATCCTGATGGACTACTTGGAATGTAAATAACTGTGTATGTAACATTAAATAGCGTAACCAATGATTTAATGCACATGGAGAACCTTACGAATGTCAAGCGTGCAGAGACAAGTCCCTATTCGCGGTTAAGGATTTGAATTGTATTTGTTTGGTTGTAATGAAAGCAGAGTGATGCCTCGATGTTTGATATGAAACAAGTTGGAATTCTGGTTTACCCTGTCTTTATTAGACTTGCTAATACTTTAACCTATATTGAATTGTAAAATTGACGTAGACGTGATAATTAAGCAATAGTATGAGTTAACGTATGGTAATCTAGAACACAGTGTACTGAAATACCCCTAATGGGTTGTCAAGTAATAAATAGTATACTCTGTAGAGAATAAATCTGGAAGCAGTCACTATATGTATTGAGGACCTGATGATGGTCTGATACAAGGCCTAAATATGTACAACGTGTAAACTTAAAAGGCAGCGTAAGGCCCAATATACGTGTTTAACTGAAAATATGTGTATGAAATAAAACACCTGAAACAAATTGTTGGAGGAAATCGCTGATCTTGGTTTCTACTAAATTGATATGGGCACCTAGTGTATATGGTATAATAGGATCACAAGTGAGTGACAAGTTGGGTAAATATATGTATTTGGGTATCATCCTTGTACTGCTGTATCCAATTAACTCATAGACCCTTAGCCCTAAAGTGATTGAGGCTCTATGCATTGGCGCAAGGGGATAACGTGGCACTGAAAGTTGTAGCAGGGTGTCGGCCTCTCGGTGACAGTTAAGCATAAGATAGAATGGGAGGGACAGGTGAGGCCCTCTCTATGCCACCATGCGAGGCGACTATGATTTGGCCCGAGGGGCGTAGTACGTCCGAGTAGGAGGATGGGTGTTGGCCTCGCGGGACCACTAACCTAAGGGGGAATAATAACTAGTGGACACCTAGGAACCTGACAGCCAGCCACAGCTAACTAAGATGGAAGGTTAGTTAGTGAGAGAGAGGACATACCATGGGATGAAAACATGGGGGGTAATGAGGTAGAATCGTAAGGCTGACCGTAATTGGAGTGCCCTGTGAGCACATCGGGGTCGAGATGGTCAGTACGTATGAACTATAATGTGTGTGTGTATGTATGTGTGTATGTATGTGTGTGTGTATGGCCCTCAGGGCTCGTAAGTGCCAGATCGTGGCCAGGTTTTTTGATGCAATAAGGGTGTGTGTGTATTTTTTTTTTTTTTTAACGTTTCAGTATAGATGCGGATTTTGTTCATAGTACTGTTAAAACGCGTAATCGCCTTCGCAGAGGCTTGCTTATCAGAACTGCGGCTAACGTGAGTGTGAGCTTAATGCACTACAGGTCAAGGTCAAGGTAATCAGGCAATGATAGGTCTTAAATGCAAAGCTGAATATGTCAGAACTTTAAATAGGTTTAGTAATGTAATGTGCAAGCGTAATTGTCAAGTATGTATAGCTGTTCTTATTCAAAGCGTTTGCTGATGAAAGTAAGATGTGCATAACAGTCAGAGCATCTGCGTTTATACTGAGGTGTAATATATAATGCTGTAGCCAGGCTATCACGGAAGCACTAATAGTCTTCCTGTACAACGTGTTTGCTTTTCATTAGATTAGACAAATGTAGATAATCCTCCCATTGACTGCGATCTCCTACGCTCATGTTAGTTAAATCGTGTGTGGTTGCCTGCTCAGGGGTGTATACGTCCGGGTAATCAAACCATTTAAGTATGCATGGATTTAGCAAGGTTAAATATATCTTGATGGTAAATATACTTGGTAATGCAGTGTGTAGGCATTATGGATAACAGAAAAGTGTATGTGTCTAAGTTCAGGCATAGTAATATATAAAGCAGCAATCAGGCAATTACGTAAGCAGTATTAAACAGCGTATTTGCTTCTACATTGAATTAAGGAAGTAATTATTCTTTTACTGGATATACAATAAATACCCCGGCTGCCCAGTTGTGTTTACCTGCACCAGGAGGTTGCCCACAGGGTCAGTGCCCTGAGAGACCCGGGCCATTCTGCGGGCCGTCACTGGACAGCTCCGGGCTTTGCTGCCATGGCAACTGGACGCGGGGATTGTACCACTGGGCCAGGCGGGGGCAGAAGATACCATTCAGCCGTATGCTGGGAAGGGTGCCCGGAAGTGTTGCTGTTGCCACATGGAAGTTGGTTGGTTGCTATGCAGAAGTAGGTCATTTCTTTCTTTTGAGGCTCTCTTGCGATCCTATTGGAATTGTTTTTTGCTTTCAGCATATTAACCTAGTGGTACCCTGTCAGCGTTTCTAACATTGCCACTTGGCGCATGTGCCAGTCACGGACCGGCTTCCATAGCTCAGCACATTGGAACGCATATGCGTTCCACCTTGCCCAACCTGCTTCTGGGTTCGGTGATTTGAGGTGCTTGATGCGGCTAGCATCTCCGTTTCCTGCTGTATGGATTGTCAACTAGTCCAAGCTTCTCGATCGGGCTCTTTCGTCCCCTAATGGTGGTATTTTATGTTTTATTGCATTTAACCATTTCTGTGTTTTTAAACATTATGATTCAAAAAACAAATCTGTATATAAAGTGTCTCTATTGCCGCAAATTCCTGAACTTGGTCTTTCTGTAACTTATGGCATGCACTGCCAGACATCTCTTTAAACAACAGCAAATTTCGAATGATGG